AGGGTCGCTATGGGTTGGAATGGACTCTACAGCACTTAACAACAACAAAAACAATATCCTAATAACTAAACTATGAGCCCTGGTGTGTTAGTGTAGATTAAGCACTAAACGGCTAACCACAAAGGCAGTTTTCCAAACACACCAGACGCTCCTCGGAAACCCTATACAGGATCACTGTGAGTCAAAACTGACTCAAAACCACTAAACAAAATATAGTAAGATACGGTCACATTAAGATCCACTTTGAGCTTTCTTCTCCCCATTTCCCCACCCTTAAACATCGTAGAAGAATTGATGCCTTTGAGTTGTGGTGTTGGAGGAGAATACTGAAAGTGCCATGGACTGCCAAAAGAACCAATAGATCTGTTTTGGAAGAAGTGCAGCCAGAGTGCTCCTTGGAGGCCAGGATGGCTAAGCTTCGTCTCTCCTACTTTGGACATATTGTCCGGAGGAAACAATCGCTGGAGAAGGATGTCATGCTGGGTAGGGTGGAGGGTCAGAGAAAAAGAGCAAGACCCCCAACGAGATGGATCAGCCAGGTGGCATCATTGATGGCATCAAGTGTGGCAGCGGTAGTGAGGTTGGCCCAGGATCGAACATTGTTTCATTCTGCTGTGCATGGGGTCGCTATGAGTCGGTTCCGACTCGATGGCACCTGACAACAACAACAACAACAAACATTACCAAACAACAGTAATAGAGTGTTTCTTTATACACAGTTAAATCAAATTATAAACTTTAAAAGACTTTGTAGAACAGTTATAAACCCAAGACAAGAATTGCCTGGAAGTCTCAGAGGTTTTTTATCTCTGGTTGAAGCCAGAGATAAAAACAATACAAAACAAAACAAAACTCCACCTTTTAAGGAGAGAAGTCATTCGCATTAATCTTGGTCTATCCATTCTTTTAGGTTAATCAGTAGTTAGCGCCCACCCTGCGGGCCATTCTTAGAATAAAGAAGTTCCAGAAACCTCAGAGGTAGGACAACTTGAGATAAGCAGAATAAAGTGCCTGAAAGTGCAGGAACCTTGACCCCATGCCCCAAATTCCTACAAATCCTTTCCCCCCTTTCTCCTATGCATCTAAATAACTGGCTTTCCTTAAGGCAGGCAGAAGAGCCACCATTTTGCTGTATCATAGCCAGAGACTCTCCTATTCCTTTAGTTGGAATCTGAGTCTCTTTCCTAATCACAGACATTGCTTGCTTTTCTCTAAAAGGTTGTTGTTGGTGTGTGCCATCAAGTCTCCAAAACAATAAAAACCTGTTGCATGTGAGTCAATTCTGACTTGTTACATGCCGTTGTGTTGTTACAGGCATTGCCAACCATATCTCAGCCTTCACAAGAGGGCTCTTGCCTTCTACAGATTGAGAATAGTCAGGTGAGGCAGACTTTCCATTCAAGCAAAAGTTTATTGTAGGAAAGAGACTTACAAGCAGAGACAGGGAAAGCTTAATGTAAGGTTTAACTCCACCTCCTTGAACAATGGCTTTGCTGGGGTTGGAAAGGTTTCCGGTAAGGAAAAGACATCATGTTTATTCATAAGGATAGGTGGGGAATTCAGGGAAATGACCCGTTGAGGAGGGGTCATATTAATTGGGTGCTTAAGCAGCATTTCTTCAAGATGGATTCCATTGCAAAGACCTCTGATAGGAGCAGACAGAACTTATTCTGGGATGTTGAGCACGAGTGGTTCTTTGAGACTCTAACTCAGACTTCTCCCAGGAGCTAGCATTCTCTTTTGCCCCAGTAGAAGGTTTGTCCCTTAAAGTTATGCTTGTTATTGTTAAGTACCGTCGAGTCAATTCGAACTCATAGCGACCCTGCAGTGGGTTTCCGAGGCTGTAAATCTTTAAGGGAGCAGAACGCCTCATTTTCCTCCCGTGGAACTGCTGGTAGTTTCGAACTGCTGACCTTGAAGCTGGCAGCCCTTGAAGCTGGTTGTGCTTGTTGTTGTTAAGTGCCATTGAGTCTATTCCAATCCATAGCGACCCTATAGGGTTTCCAAGGAGTAGCTGGTAAGCTTGAACC